GTTAGAAAAGCAGATAAAAATAGTGCTCCTATTATTTTTATTCAAACGAAGAAGAGCGGAAATCCTCACCAACCTCCTCTACACACCGCACGCTCCACCGAAACGTCATCTCGCGCATTGCAAACCACATGGGCCGCACCATTACTTGTTATTCAACAGCTCTGACCTCTCTTCCCACCATCCATTGCTATTGGCTTGCTTTCTTCTACTCTGGCAACTTGTGCTGCACGTGTCGTTCTCTTACTCGCTAAAAGGGACGCTGCGGAATCCACGTGGGTGACGAAATCTAAAGTTTTAAAATTGTTAAATTACGTAATAGGGCCCCGGAACTAAAAATTAAATTAAATTTTGTTAATTTAGGACGCGGGTAAGTTGGCGAATTGGTTGGGGTACGTATATAAAAGGGGCCAAGGGACAGGTGAAACTGAAATTAAATTGCAGAGAGAAACAGAGGCGGAGGGCAGCAGAGTGGTCGGGATCCGGCGGAGACTCGTCGGATTTCGCCCATTTTTCTTCAGAGTTGCTTTAATTAGATTGCCACGAAATCGAAGTTGTTCTTGAAAGGGAAAGGTTTTCGAAAATGAAGGGATCTGGTCCTCTTGTCGCGTCAATGCTTGCTGCCTCTACGGTGGCTCTCACCTCCTCTTCCTCTCCGCAGGTATTGTGTTTTGATTCAAATCTTGGAACAATGTTCATTTCAAACCTCTGTTTCTTGTGTTGGGAGATTCATAAATCTGTTCGTTAGTCAGGTTTGTTTCATGATAAGGTTTCTTAGATCTGGAACCATTAATTTTCTTTTCTTTGGTTGTTGATCGATTTTTTTTTTTTTTTTTTGTAAACTTCTTTCTCTTCTAAATTGTTTGCATTAATCGATCTCTGGAATTCGTAAATCTGTTTTGAAATTTTTAATCTGAAGCAAGGAAATCAAAGCGTTTGATTGTTCTTCCATTTTTTCTTGACATTTTTTTTGTCGATTTATCAGGCAAACTCATCGCCGGTGAAGAACGGTGGTTCAAAGAGCTGTACTTCCTCATCGGAGAAGGAGAAGTTTGCGCCGAGGTTCGATGGGTTGAAATTCATAGAGACCTTGGTGACAGCGCACAGATAGACAAAACCTGCACATCGAAACGCCGTCCTTTGTCTCCGTTTTAATTAGCCAAGGTCGTGCAAAATCAACCGTTAACTAAAACCATTGGTTGTTGTTAAGATGTGAAATTTAAGACTAAGAGTGCCTTCTTTTTTCTTTTTTCTTTTTTCCTTTTTTCTCCGTCGTTTTCGTACACCTCTTTATATTTCTTTTGTCATTCCGGCTTCTGACTTTCTGTTAATTTGATGTTTGGTGTCAATTCCCTCTTTGTTTGTTTGGAAGTCTTCGTGGAATTGATATAGACCCAATTTTATTTTACAACCAAATTTTATAAAATCCCTATGTCATTAAACATGGTACAGATTTTGGTGTTCAATCGAGTGACATGGTACTTGAATTCAATTTTTTTTTTTAAACGGTTTTTAGTTGTGCAATTTCATGCCACAAATTTGGCAAACGACATGGGTTGTTGGCTTGTTGCGTGCGCGGTGGCTATAGTTGTGCATGTGTTTGGGTTGGGTTTGCCTTGTGGGTACAGGAATACAAAGGTTATGGTCCTTCTAGAAAAGAGATCACTAAAACAGCTAAGGTATGGTATTGTTTGTTTTGAATCTTTTGAATATGCCAACAAAGAAAAGAATATGCTAAACCTGACCACACACATTGCTTCAAAGTTCAAACTTTAGAAATATATTACCTGTTATTGCAAGGGACAAAAACATGTGCTCAGAAATTCTGCTGGAGAAAAGTTGGAA